CTGAGTGCTCACTGGAAGGACAGATCCTGAAGCTGAGGCTCCAGTACTTTGGCCATCTCATGAGAAAAGACTTCCTGGAAAAGACTGTGATGTTTGGAAAGTGTGAAGGCAAGAGGAGAAGGGGACAACAGAGGACGAGATGGTTGGACAGTGTCACCAACATGAATTTGACCTAACTCTGGGAGGCAGTGGAAGACAGGAGGGCCCGGAGTGCTCTGGTCCACAGGGTCACGAAAAGTCAGACGCGACTTAACAACTAAAAGGAGCGAGGTCTATGTGTCAGTTTCATTCTGTTAAAGAGTTAGAGCTGAGAACTGTTTTAGAGTTAGAGACCAGCTGCATGGGAGTTTATCCTGCTCTGTGGCCTCCTTCTCCAATGGATGGGACTATATGACATTCTTGTTACAGCGTTCCAACCCACCCGTCAAGGGGACTAATCCATTCCAGACTGGCCTAGGTTTAGAGCCTACTGTTTACATGGAGTGATTAGGATTGGTCCAAATAAACATGGTTTTCTTGCTATCTGATGGACTAGATAACTCCAATGCAGGGTTGGTTGCGTGGTCTTCCTACATGTCAGTGGTGATGTGTAGAGCTGGATCCAGATGACAACCTCCATCCTATTTTGATGTGAAAGAAGGAATTTTTAAATTATTATTATTTTTTAAAGGGTTTTCCACTATTATGCTGCATCACTTAAATACTATGCTGCTTACCAAAAATTAATTTAAGGAAAAGAATGGGAGAAACACAGAGCTAAAACAAGGCACTCCATACCCCTACTCCTTGTGTGCATAGAAAGCCAGCTTTAATGCCTACTCACAAACAAATGGAAATTGGCTGTTATCCAACTGGCTAAAGAGAAGGAAGAAATATATTTGGAAATAAAGAAATATGTTTTTCTTTTACTGTTGTTTTCATCTTTATCATTCACATCCTTGATCCCACTTTTCCCTTTGTCCCCATTACCTGTGATCCCTTAATAATAATAATTTAATAATTTCTGTTTATAGTATATGTTTATATGTCTAACTGTTTTTTAAATTTGTAATGCCGCCCAGAGAAGGCCTTTGGTTTAGATGGGCGGGGTAGAAGTCTAATAAAATAAAATAAAATAAAATAAACCAAACTCTCCTTGCTGCCTATTTTATATGTGGCGCTGTGGGCTAAACCGCAGAAGCCTGTGCTGCAGGGTCAGAAGACCAAGCAGTTGTAAGATCGAATCCACGCGACGGAGTGAGCGCCCACTAAGAATAAGAAACCCAGACAAATAATAGATAAAAACACATTCACGTCACATGAAGCTAAGAACACAGAACTTGAATTGGGATTATAGAACTTAATACATGAATTATCTAAAATATAAGATCTTAAGGGGGCTCCGGCTGGGACAGAAAGAACTCAAAAATACTCGGATATGGGTTTTGCGGGGCGACTGTTCTTTCAGGTCTTTCCTAGTGGCACTAAGGAGTAGTGGCTAGGACTTTATGCATTTAAAGGTGTTGATGGTTTCAGAGTGCTACCTGCAGCTGCTTAAGGAGTACAGTATGTAACCCAGTTAGTGTCAAAATTAGCAGAAAGGTCAGCACCTCCTTAGGTGGGTACTTCACAAGAAGTTAACTGCACAGGTTTCTGTAGATTGCGACAATACATGCTCATGATTACTGGATAGATCTTAATTTTACTGTACTTCTAAACTGTCACACAGTATGGTAGGAGGTACCAGTGACGACAAAGTTAACTGCACAGGTTTCTGTAGATTGTGACAATACATGCTCATGATTACTGGACAGATCTTAATTTTACTTTTAAACTAACAGTCACACAGTATGGTAGGAGGTACCAGTGATCGTATGCATGAATAATAGGACAAGGTAGATGGGGACACTTCTGCAGAGACATTACAACCATACTAAGAGGAAGATATAAGGTAAAGTCTTTTTAAAAATCCTTTTATCTTATATGGAGTGAGAAATACGTGATGTCTAAGTTGGATTCTAAAAGGGAAGATGCACTCAAGATTACAGTATATAGCAAATATCCACTGGCTACTGTAGCACACCAAAGATTTTCAGAAGAAGATCAGACTTTACAGCAAAACCTTTGGCTGTGTGGATCATGAAACACGCAGTGTTCTGACAGAAATGTGTGTGCCTCAGCACTTGATTATCCTAATGTATAATCTGTATTGTGGAGAAGACCCTATTGTTAGACCAAAACACAGAGAGACAGCATGGTTTCCTATAGGCAAAGGTGCCTTTTTTCCTCCTTATCTACTCAATCTGTGCACAGAACGTATCATACGGAAAGCCGATTAGATTCAGATGAGACCATCTTATTAGTGGAAAGCATCAATGTCTTGAAATGACTTTTATTGAAAGTGAAAGAAGAAAGTTCCAAAGCAAGACCACAGTTGAACATTTAAGACAAAAATTATGACCACAGAAGAACTAAACAACTTTAATGTTGAGAATAAAGAAATTTAAATTGTTAAAGATTTTGTATACTCTGGTTCAACCATCAATCCAAATAGAGACTTCAGCCAAGAAACCAGGAAGAGATTGAGACCTGGAAGGCCAGCAATGAAGGAGTTAGGGAAGATCATTAAGTCTTTGGATGCGTCACTGGACACCAAGACCAAGGTCATCCACACTGTTGTTTTCCCATTCACTCTGTATGAGTGTGAAACTGGACAGGATGAACAAGTGGGTCCTAAAGCAAATCAAGTCTGAACTATCTCTAGAGACAAAATTGAAGACGTCATACTTTTTGTGCACATCATGAGAAGACAGGATTCTATGGAAAAAACAATAATGCTAGGAAAGATTGAAGACAGCAGGAAAAGAGAAAGACGAAACGTGAGATGGATTGACTACCTAAAGGAAGCCGCAGGCTTAAGTTTGCAAAAACTGGGCAGGGCAGTTGACGACAAGGCATTTTGAATATCATTTATTCATAAAGTTGCCATGAGTTGGAGGCGACTTAAAGCCATGTAACAACAATAGAAGGAAACTATGTATGAAAAAGACCAATAAGGAAAGACATTCAAGAACTTTAGAAGTACAGTATTTTAGAGTTATTAGTTAGAACTTACAACATAGTGAAGAGGAACTGGCAATATTAGCATGGTTTCTAATTCATTTAGCTTTCACACAACATTTCCTTTTAAAAAATCTTCATACATAGTTTCCATATAAATTTACACTGAATGTATGAATTTATTTCATTTAATACATAATATATAAGTACACAAAACATATAAAAACATTTCACTTAATACATAAT